GCATTTACGCCAGTCAGCTCCAGAAACTAGCGGACGCTGTTCAAGAAAAACGACCGAGACGAACTTCTGTCCACCTACTCCACGATGACGCCAGGCCCCACATAGCTAAAGAGACCCGTGCAAAATTGGAAGAGCTGATCTGGGACGCGGTTCCCCACCCACCCTATTCCCCTGACATTGCCCTCTCTGATTATCACTTACTTCATCCCCTTAAGGCATTCCTAGCGAAGAAAAAATTCACCAAAGTTGAAGACGTTGAAAGAGCGGTCAGCGATTTCTTTGACTCTCAGTCTGCTCAGTTCTGGGAGAAGGGGTCGCTGACCTGCCCATTAGGTGGGACTCTGTAGTGAGTAACAATGGTGATTATATTGTTGAGTAGATTCCATTGTACGTGGAATAAAAAAGCAAAGAACAAAAAAGTGTCAAACGGCTCAGGACTTTTTTACCACCCTAATAGAAGGTTCTGTCCAAACGATGTCTATTTTAACTTGAAAAGTACCTTCTCTCGAGATTTTTGTCTTTTGTTCTATACGTATCTGATGCTCTCAGCAAAACCGGAGTCAAATAATAGTGAAGTGCATAATTTGTTGGAACTCAATTAGCGACAATTTTATATTGTCCTGCAAACTGCTCAGAGGACGGCGACCCTTTGTCCTCCTTCTACAACTGAAATATTGGGTGGAGTTTCATGTGGGCAAAGGAGCAGTGGAGGTATTTATTAGGAGAATTCGAAGGTTCCGTACTAATATTCTTTAAGAGTGTGGTGAGATGAAGTAATGTAGGAGACGGGGTAAAAGTCTTAACTGCAAATTCAGGTTGCGCCGTGTTGTGGCCTACGAGTGGAGTTGGAGTTTCAGTGGGAAGGGGTGCAGGTATATGTGCTTGTCTTTCTTTGAAATGGATCAAAATGGCATGTTGGGCAATAATTGGCTCGCAAATATGATGTTTATGACACGTACCTGCCAGGTTGCGCCATGTACCTAACTCTTGGTCCTATTGTGGACACGATTGTTAGGTGTTGTATTTTCAGACAGACTCCCTAATTCTGAAAATGACTTTTTTCCTGTTTAGCTTCGCATACCTATGTCTGGCGAGTGCATTATGCTGGTCGCTGTCAGAAAAATGGACAGGGTCATTTTCCGTGAGAATGTCCAGACTCGATTGTTACAATAAGGGATTAACCGCATCTGTCAGGGCAGGGTTATCGTACAAGTATGTCTTCACAGGAAGAGAGTAGTTTCCTGTCGTCCGACCCTAATATACGTTCTCTTTTTTTGCGAAGACAACCACCAATGGTAAGTCCTAAGTGTTATCGGCAAAAAGCATATCTTGAATCTGATGTTTTGGTTCAGCGTTTTTGAAAGAAAAAGACGCCATGTTTTCGATTTATGCCCTGTTTAGCCAGATGCGTAAGCTCAAGGCCGGACTGCTTGTCTGCGAATGGGCGGCGATCCTAAATTATCTGAAAAATTTATTGAACGGTTAATCCATTACTCCCGTGGTCTTTCATTTCACTTGGTGTTCTTATTCTTCTGCATAGTACTTAACTGGAAGTATTCTCTCAGAATTGTGATACAAGAGAGAAAAAAGGCCATCTATCCAACCCTTCCCATGGAGGAGGAGAATCAGTTGTCTGCATCGGAAACTAGTAATGGCGAGGTTTGCGAATCCTCCTTTCCTTGTTGAGGGAGACTGATTACTATTGTGCCACATTTTTTTCGCTTTTCCTTATATTTTTTCCAGGGACGGAACAAAGGCTACAGACATTGCCCAAACTGTGGAACAGGGGCAACGTTGGATTATTTCAATTGACTTGCGTTTGCAAATCCATTATGATGATTGGCATCAACCCTTACCAACGAAAGAAAGGAGTTGTTGGAATCGCAGCCCGGCAGCGATAGCGCGGGCAGTCCAGCGAATTGAAACGGCTCCACCCCGTTACAATGACGAGACGGCGGTGAGAAATGAAAATATTTCCTTATTAAATGTTTGAAATATTTCAAATGTTTCCTTTTTTCTTTTTTAACCTATCCATTTAGCTGTGTAGCAGCGCCGTGAAGAGAAGCTCGCGGTACAGGTTCGGACTTAGTCAGGGCATGCCTGAACTGGTACCAATGATGGCTCCAGCCCAGGACCGCAAACCACTTGAAGGAACTTGAAGCGCGAGACTTCTTACTGTAAGGAATGGAGATGTCGTGTCCTTGTCATTGTGCCGAAGGGCATCAATCTCTTGAGCGTCGTCATCACGGATTTCGCAAACATAGCTGGAGCTATTTAGCTGCTGCCAGCTTCCAGCGTTAACTAGGCAGTGGGCGTGTGGCCGACTAATAACGACTTTACGTCGTTATTCACCAAATTTTGTCTCAGCTTACACAAGTCGGTTGAATTTACTCAATCGATACGCGAGACTCTTTGTGCGCAGACCTCTTGTAGTAGGCCCATCAAGAGGCTGCGCTTTTTTATAAACATACCCTCACTACTCATTTCACTTGCCGTTCACGCCATTTACCCTTTTATATAGTTCACTTGCACTTTTTACATGTATTCTATTCCCGCAACTTTTTCTGTTGTTTTTGTCTACAGTTTGCTTTATCTGTATTCCATGAAAGACTGTACTTTCTTTCTCATGACTGTTTCTCATGGCTCACCAATAGGTCACTTACCCTTCTTGAAAAGATTAAGCCATCAACAACTTTTTTGGGTGTCTTGTACAAAACACTTCTTTGTTGGTGCTCAGTATAAATACCCCCTGCGCAAACAGTAGGGGCTTCTAACTTTTGGCTCCTGGCTCCTTGCTGTTCCTTCATCTCTTGTTCCTGGCTTTAATTTCCCATTGGTGCTACTTTTGGATATTTGTATATTTGTGTTATATCAGAATAAAACTTCCAAACGTTCGTGTGGAAGATTCCTCAACAACAAATTTGTGGTGACTCGTAGATCTGAACTTGGACCGCGTGGCACTCTACTCAGAGGATAAGGCGAGCAGAATCTACATTTCTACAGCTACATAGTCGCTACAGTGAGCACCTAGAACAAACCCAGGAAGGGGTAGGTGCCCCGAAGCAAAGCGCGAAAGAAATGCTTACACAAACCCGGGGAATTCCACACTCCCCCCTAACTTAAGGCTCAATCCTGAATTTATCTTTACACTAGGAGAATATGCTATCCGTGGTATCAAGCACCAGGCGCGTTCTGAACCGCGGGCCCCCCCCCCCCTAATTGGGATATACCCTGAATCTCTCCGCACTTTCCTCCTTGCTCTTGTCCCTTATCCATCCACCAATGCCTTGTTGCCTGTATACTGCAAATAGAGGTGCTCGAACCAGAAACGGGAATCAATACAGCTATGGTCCGAAAACATGGTTGTGCATTCAGAACAACAATCTGTGTGAACGTTAGCTATTCGTGTACTTGTCCTACGAACGCCGTTCCTCCATCGCACATTCTCGTGTCTATACCATGGCCCTCGCGTACCTGTAAGAGCACTGTTCCTAACCAGCCACACAGAGGAAACAGCCAGTGTGTATTGGTCGTAGAGCCAAGAGGTCGTTTTTGAGTTCTTTCGGAGGGGGGGGGGTCGTATGAGGATGAGGGGTTGGTGAAGGTCAAAAGGGGAAAAAAAGAGGTCGCATCTCTGGAAGTTGGATGGATCGTAGTGGTTGACGTTTTCTTAATAATTTTGGTGGAAATCTGAGAAGGTAAACAAAAGTGGTTGAAATTGGTGTTTGTCGTCAAGAAAAAAAAAAACATGGCCAACTCAACCGTATATCATCCCCCCTCGTTCTCCTATTGCATTTTCCCCATGATCGTTAGGCGGCGGTATTGCAGTCATTACCCCCAGAGGGATGGCGCCCTCTGAGTTCAATGCTCCTCAGCTCTGAGGGAGACAAAAATGGTTGCGTCACGGAACGATACGCTCTCTAGTTTCCTATATGAAAGAAGTTAAGCAATCGCGACCCCTTGGGGAAAAGTACTTCAGTGCTGATGTCAAAGACCTTTGCGATTGAAAGGGCGATTCTGCACCAGTTTGGTGCAGGAGCACGGATCGCCCCAAAATGCGAGCGATGGGATATTTACCGCGAGGCGGGCCCGCCGTTGTAATCGTCGCGGGGGTAAATATCCCGTCGCTCCTGCAATTGGTGTAAAATCGCTCCAATCGCAAAGTCCCGAGGTATGCCGGTCCTGTGACGCAACCCATTTTTGGGCCCTCTCAAAGCTGAGGGAGGATTGAATCAGGGGGAGGACGCATCTCCCCTGGGGGAAGGTTTGAATACCGACCCCCAGATCTGAGATCATGGCCAGTTCGATGTAGACGTAGTAGGTTCAGCTGGGTCACTGTAAGCCTAGAGCACCTCAAAGGATAGTTTCAATACCCTGCTACAAAACAGTAGCAAAACAAACCGATATATACATAAATATTTATTTATTACAATCATTGCATTGAATAAGTTAGTGATTAACTATGTGGATAGCTGAATCTCATAGCTCTTTCTCACAGCTTGTACAAGAAAACTCGAACATTGCATCGGGCTACAAAAAGGGATTTTAGGTCTTCCATTAGTACCTCACCTTCCAGCGAGGAGTAAGTATGCTTACTTGGCGGCGCTATGGCCGTGGACCGGTCGAGCAAAACACTTCCGTGATACAGTCTCAAATCCCGTCTACCAAATACCGACTACAAACTTAAGTTGGCAGTTGGAAGCAAAAGACCCTCAACAATCGTCCTCTATTTCAAAGGGAACTACCATCAATTTGCAGCTAACTGCCAAGTCATCACAACCGATTACGAGTAACACCAAGAAAGGCCAACTTGAACACAGCGATGATCAGAAGTGAAAACAAAATGAAGCTGATAGATCAACTAAAACTGAAATGCGATCACACACAGGTACTGACAATTTCTGGTGCGGTATAAAAGCGTGATTAAATTCGAGACAGAAGGGTTATCAGTACTAGAATAAGACCGAAAACAGATATGTTAGGAAGATAATGACACAAGTTTACTTGAAAATCTGGTCATAATCAACGATGAGCCTGTAGCAGAAATTGTTCAAATTGTTCAGCTGGGCGATAGGCACCTAAAAAAATCAGCTGTCATAATAAAAACACTGCCGGAAAAACACAGCTGCTGTAACAAAAACACTTCCAAAAAAATCGAGTTAAAATGATGAGCGCTAGGAACAAAGAAATATGAAAATTCTGAAGTCACCTGCTGATCAGTAGGCCACGTGAGATTTGGTCCAAACACAACGCTGAGATTATTTGCGGTCATTAAATTCACTTTGTGATTAGCTGCCACCTTAAACATTCTACCTACAGAAACGATACAAGCTTTGGAACAACAAGAACACAATGACAACTACTCATAGAAGTGACAATGATGGATTGTATTTTGAAACAGGTTGCAAAACATATCGGACCACCGTCCAAGCGCCCAGAGCTTGTGGTTCAAAAGTTAATGGCGATGTTAAGTTAATGGTCGCTGCAAGCGATCCGTCGCTCCCTGCGATTGGTGCAAAATCGCTCTAATCACAAAGTCTGACATCGCCAATGCAGTATTCTTGCGCACCTACCTTTCTAGGCCTTACCATGTCATCAAAGATCTACGAAGGCAAATATTGTTGGCTTTGAATGACTTAAACTCCTCAAGGTGCCATCATCAAAATAAAATCGGCATGGTGAAGAGGGAGAGAGCGGGAAAGAGAGAGAAGATATATGAGCAAAGCTATGGACTCAAAAGCGTCAATGCCCTTTCTTCCTGCGCCCTCTCGCCTAAATAGCGATTCATGACCATATTGACCACGCACGCTGGACCTTTTGCCACAAAGAAAAGGAAATTAGCTCACACATCCTCTTCCTAATTTCCCTCACACCTGGCTCACCCACCACCGACTAGTATCGTTACAAGCTGTGGTAGGTGCCGTTCCCTGCCCGTCTGCGATCTGGCCTTTCCTTGAGAAGAACAGGAAAGTTCAATTAGTCACGTAACCCACCCCACAACTCTCCGTTGTTGGCTATGGCAGAAGAATGGAATGCATTAGCTAATTCACCTACTTCTCCGCATGGCAGTTTTTCCATGTGCCATAACCTCAGCATGGTTGAAAGGATTATGCATTCCGCGCCAATCAATCCCTTCTTGAGATGCGCTACACATTCCTCTTCCTTCCAGAATCCCGGCGGCACTTGAATGCGGTATGGCCTATAGCGTGCCTGGCCACTCGATGTAGAAGACAATGTTTTTGAGAGGGATAGAAGGCTCAGTTTTCTTGCGCAAGATTCGCATCCTAGATTCGATCCCCAAACCGTGCGCGGGAAGTGACGCCATTGCCACACAGTCGCTAGGTGCGCAAATGTCACCAAAAAGTGGCGAGTAAAAAAAATAAAAAGAAGGCTATGCATTCTACAAAAAACATGACAGTATAAATAGGAATAAGCAAATAAAAATTTGACCACAACGTACCAGTGTTAGAAAATGCACAACTTTTTGTAGTAGAAGATGATTTGGCCGAGGAAGTAAAGCGACGAATTCCTTTTACCGCTGGCGTCTTTCCTTT